ACTAGATATGTGTTAGTCTTGTATATATAAGACGGTCACAACGTGACGGAACAGTGAGTGTGTAATTGAACTAAGTATTGTTGGAGTCGAGCACGTGAGACGTACGATGAGAATTATAGCGTTTGTTATAGCGCGACTGTCGAAATTAAATGTATCGCAAAGTTATATTCAGAAAGAATAAACCAGTTTTATTTAAGAAAGGACTTGTGTCGCTAAAGTTTCGTCGGAACGAATTTGCGGAAAATTAATTAACAAACGGAGACGTAACAATACACTTTAAAAATCACAGCGATTCACAATCTCGATAACAAAACACACCCTAGCTCGGAACAGAATCGTAAATTACCCGGAACTCTCTTCATTCATTACCGCATGTTTTATTTATTTATTTCTGGCTTTATTGGATTGAAAAATTATTATTTCCAAAGAAATAATTATAAATCAGGTATGCTCGGAAATTAAGCAATCTTAAACTTAAAAAGGTAAACCTAAAAGTACAAAGCAAAGAGTATATGGCTGATATAGGACAGATGGTCCATCAGGGCTGCGGGGATCTATAAATCCTATGCCAAGAATTTTACGTGGGGGGAACAGGAGTACCCCGAGAAAATCCACTTTCAGTGGGAACGACCAATCCGTTACCAGTGCCCGAGAAGAAGTATGTTGGGAAGGCAAAGTTTAGTCTGATGCAGGGGGTTGATTAACTTTTGAATGAGTTGTGGATTCTCCTGATGTTTGCCATGGTTTTATTGGGGTACAGGTTCAGGTTACAGGATGGATTTAAAGGAGTGAAGTCCTCGGTGATGCTGGTGAGTGTGCGGAGGGCACAGAAAAGTTCGTTGGATAGGTTGAGGTCGGTAGAGGTGTCAATTACTAGAACGTTGGTGAATTTGAAGACGATGGTTTAGAAAGTGGCATGGGGCTGAGAGGCGGATTGCTGGTTTGTTGATAAGCATCGTTGGTTACTAGAAAGACTGACAGCTGGTCCTGGGTTCTTTTTTTTCTCCTTGTAGTGGTGGTTTGGGTCAACTTGTCTTGTGTTTCAGAAGTGGGTGAAGTTTGAGTAGCCTGGTCAAGTGTAATAGGATGGGCTGTAGAGTACTGGTTGACGGTGATTTTCTTTTAGTGTTGTGGAACGTGGGCTGGGAAAGGTAGGAGGTGGATGAGGCTTACAATGTGGTTTTTCCGCTCTGAAGTGATAGTAATCAAGATAGCAGCTGTGAGTGAGGATAGGATCTGCAGTTATCTTGGAAGTTGTGACAACTTTTTTTTTTTTTTCATGAAAGTGGAGGGTGAACCAGTTTTCTTTGATGAGATATGATGGATTATCGTTAGATGTACTGGACGTTGAATTATTTTCACCAGGTAATTCAAAAGAACTAGTCAACTAAATAACTACTACAATTAAAAACAACAACAAAAACGTATTTGTTATATTGAAAGGATACTGAGGATGTCGAAAAAAAGCAACATTTTAAGGTAATTTAAAACTATGCCCGTAAACTAAAATTACCTTTATATAACAAAGTTACTATTTTATTAAATAAATTCCTGAAAAAGATGATTACAAAGTCTAGTCCATAGAATGTGAATCATGAAAATGTATTTTTAAAACTATGAATATGTTTGATTGAATCAGTGAAACTAAGGTATTGTTACGACAGCGGAAGTCACGCGACGCTGGGATTATGGATGCTGGAGTTTCTCGAAAGATCATGAAGGCCCGAGTGCATTCGAGACGCCCTCTTTTTAGAAAATAAGCCTGGCGAGAAAAACCAGCGAGATCGAAGAGATAGATAATTGAGTCAAGCGAACAGTAGGCACTGTAAGTAAAGTGTGTGAATTACTGTGATTTATAGCGTGTGTTATAACGGTTGTTAAGTTTAAAGTAACTGTGGAAATTATGTGTATTACTAGAAGTTGTATCGGGAAAGAATAAACTGGTTTAATCAAGAAAGAACTTGTGTCACTGAAGTTCCTCGGAAATAATTTCTACCGAAAATTAACAAACAAGTAGATACGCAACAGTATTATGGTGTAGTTGTAAAAATAATTATGAGATTAAAATATAGTTACGGTTATTATTAGGCTACTAGTACCAGTAACTTTATGAAATAGAGCTTTCAATTTATTATTACTAATGTCATTATTTTTCTTACTAGTTTTAGAATCGTTGGTATAAAATTGTTTATTGAAAGGAGACTGTTATGTAGGATCTTTTCAATTTCATAGTTATTGCTAACAGCTTGCTTTTTTTTTCACTTTCAGCACTGTGTTATCGGTATCTAAAAGTTGTTTGTTTATTTTTAGGGTAAAGATACGTTCGATTATCTGCTGTTTCTACTGCGAAGAATCGAGCCACGGGTTTCAGGGTTGTAAGTACATAAATTTACCGCTGAACTAAAAGTTGAATAAAAATAAAACTATAAATTCTTTTATGCTGGTTATTAGTGGTAGTTTGTTTGTTTTACAGAGACTTTTGTTTTGATTAGCTTAGAGCATTACATTATATTGTAATTTTCAAAACTTCGAGTCATATAATTCAAATTTACTATTTTAATTATATTTGTTTAATCAGAAGCTTTAATTGGTCTATAATTTCATATCGCCCTCTGCCGACGACTATTAACTTAATAATACAGGTCAAATATGTGTGCATACAGTATCACTATAAATAGTGCAATTGAGAAGAAAAAGTTTGTTGTATTTTTGTGATAGTTTCAAGTTAATTTATTATCAGAAATATAAAATCCAGTTTTGATACGTAAAATTTGATACATCTCGCTACATTATATATGTAGACTCGATTTAGAAAAAAGAAGTTAGACTGTTACTGTTAGAGACTTCTTTATAGTTATAGTATAACTTGTACTATTACTATATTAATAATATAAGCCTATAGTTGAAATCAAACTGGTGCCGTGGGAGCTTGCGATTATTTTATTGTGGAAGTTTGGATAGGGTCGATTGCTAGTTAAATGGTAATAGCAATTGCGCGATCGACTTTTTAGTTTATTGTTCATTGAACTGAACTCTTGCAGTTGAAACTGGTGAACTTGACGTAAGCTTAACTTGAATTTGAAAGAAGAAAATATTATTTATTTATATTATTACTCGTACCTTCGTTGAAAACTTGGTATGTTTGAGCAACTTACTTTGCTCTATGAAAGTTCGAATATCTGTAATTTGGTGACTTTGCAGTTTACTTCATTTTGAAAGTTGGGATTTGAATTTCAAGTGAATATGTCACAAGGAAGCAGACCTAATTTGTAATTTGTAAGCATAGTAATTGCATTTTAGCCTTAGGCTAACCTATGAACTAAATGACTGTTAGTGTTGCCAGTACTGACTTGAGTAGTCAGTGTGTAAATACACAAGTCAATTTGAACATTGGTTACTGAATGTTTCTTAGTAAATAACAGTAGTACTTGGCTGTATCTAAGCTACATTGACTTTCTTTAAAAAAACAAAAGTAAATTTTAATTTTTATACATGTTAAATATGGGTTATGTAACCAGAGCTAATTAAAACTAAGTAAAAAAAATTTCTTTAAGTCACCGGACACTAAATATTGTGTAAATTGATAACTCAAGTATACAAACTAAAATACAAAAAAGAAAAAAATGTTCATCAGACGTCCAGCATTGGCTTTTTATACTGTGGTTGTGCTTGTGACAGCTCCATTTTTCACCATGTTTATTCTCTGGAATGGACCAGGTGAGTGAAGTTGCTTTAATTTAAAGTTTCAGATTTGTAGCTATTTATGATAATGTTTTAGATGTATAAATGCATTTTGTTACACAAAGATATGATCCAAGTTATATTGAATGCATTTTACTTTTTAATTCAAAAGTTTGTTTTTTATAATATCCAACATTATTTCAATAAAAATAGTGTTTTTCATTATAATACTAGTCAGGACAGGCTTCCTAACATACAGGTCATTTGAGAAAAATCTTTTAGCCTGAGAGAGAGGTGTACTGATGCTAGAAAATAAAACTATCATGTGAAATTAAGTATTCAACATTCAGTGGTAAACCTCTTCCTGTTTTCTTCTCCTTTCGTTCTCGTTGCTTTATTCTATCGTATGGAACTTAGCAAATCATTGTGTTTTATCTTTAAATACTGGTTAGATCTGTTTGATTAGTTTGGATGTGTCTGAATAAATTAGATAGATAGCTTTTTGTATGATTACTGTTGGCACGACTGAATGAACTTGCTAGATCTGTTTGTCTAATTAATGGTGAGGAATCTGAATGAATCGGGTATATCTAGATATTTGTATGAATAGGGGGAAAATTTTTGAATGAAATAGTTATGTTTTTCTGATGAGGGATTTAATGATTATTTTTCAGAAGTCTTTTGAAACTGGGAAAATTCCTATTTAATGTAAGTTTTCTGTTACAGCCCTTTTAGTTTTAATTTGTATCATTAGCAAGTTGAACCTATTGCCACGAGTCATGGAAAAGAAATCCTAAAATTCAATAAGAAAATATCTTGTTTACCTATATAAATATAATAGTACTATCTGTTTTCTGTTGGTATGGAGGTTCAATAGGTCCATGTGAGAGTACGTACAAATTTTCAGTTTTGTGGTTTTTTTATTGGGTGTTCTTTACCACTACTTCGCCCCCTGTAGATGGATATTTGGCATGAAGGTTTGTTGGATCTATGTAGAGATAAATTGCAAATTTGCAGTTTCACATTTCGTATTTTGCAGTTTTTATGGGCATATTTGTATTTTTTATAATTACATTCAAGGGAAGCAACTTTCCTATTCCTAAGATAACCTTTCATTAATCATAAATTTACATAACTTCCATCCAGGGGACTGGTACTCCAGCTAGTAGAAAACTATTTTCTTCCCTGACAAACTTTTTGTAGTTTCTGTTTAGTGAATATTCTCTTTTTTCCATGAAGATATTCCATAGCTTTGTTTTTAATTTGCGTCAGTGATTTGGGGAACTTCTTGAACTGCAATACCTCGATGATATTAACAACATGTTTAGTGCTGATTCTGTTCAAAGTATTGTTCTAATAATTTCTGTAATTGTGCATGTTCTTTTTGGATTATTTAATGAAAAAAGAAAATTGCAAAGTCCAGTCCATTTAATGAAAAATAAAGCATTTCTTTGATTTATAAGCTCAACAAGTTGGCTTAAGTTTACAGTAGACACTAAGACAGCAGTTGCTAATTTTATCTTGTTTGTACATTACATAACTTTATCATGTCTCTAATACTTAATTCTAACACACTCAATATTTATAAAATCAAACTGGCAAACTACCTGACAGTATCAAACTAACAAACTCAATAATCAATCAACTACTGTGGGAGACTCCAAAGTTTATCATACTCTAGCCTAACTTGCATGTTATATAACTATTGTTTCTTAATTTGTTAAGAAGGTTTTAGTTATCAAGCCGTGTGTGCTCATCATGTGAAGTAAAAACTCTCCTTCTGGTAAAATGTGACATAATATAACATTTAAGGAACACAAAAGGCCTATTGGTCCATGTAGGTTGCTCCATCCACAAGAAGTATATTCCAAACCACTTGTTATCATTTAAATATTTATCAATCTTCCCCTTAAACTCCCTTATCTTTAACACATCCACTGCATCTGGAGGCAACCCATTCCAAGGGTTAACCAATCTGTTATAAAAATACAATATAATCCCTATCCTACCAAACTTTATATTCCAATATAGTACTTCCCTCCTCTCACAAGATTAGCTATTCTCATCCAGTGCTGCTCTCTCTATGCAGATTTTTTCTTTATACATGCCACAGGCTTTTTGCTCCCCCCTATTGGAATCGAATGATTCCAACATGTCTCTCGTAAATCATCCTCCATCACTTTAACACCAATAGGACTGTGACATACTCATGTGACTCCCTTTATACGCCTCTACTTAACTACCATTTCTCATTTGGCAGTGCTTGTGCTCAGATGTGTTTCTTTTTGTTTGTTTAAAGTTTCACGTTGTTGTTTTTTTTCATCTTCATTTATTTTTACTTCTGTTAAGACAGTTTCTTAACTTCATTTTAATCCCAGTTTATTACAGTTGCATTGTTATTTATACTTTCAATTATTGGTTGACTCTTCCTCATTATGAATTCCGAAGTTCATGTTACCACTTCAAGGGTCACACCTGCCACTAGCCTCAGGTGCACATGACCTGGAGGTTGATTTATCCACGTTTATTTGCCAGGAGATTGAACGTTACATGTGTCAACCTCTGTCTCCGGATTTTGCCCCACTTCCTCCCGAACAAACTGAGTCTGTTCAGATGGACAAGAACTTGAATCACCGATTTCCACCTCCTGATTTTGCCATGCCTTCCCATGCCCTGCCTGGGAGTCAGTTAGGCCTAATATGGTCTTTTTGGATTTCATTTCTCAGATTATTTTGAGTAATTAATCTATGTACGGTTTCGGTAAATTTGACTTATCTCGCAACCACCATAAAAAATGAGGAAATAAACATAAATTATGCCTCTTTCATTCCAGAATGAACACAAATTATAACACAAACATAAATGTTTAGACAAAATAGCTTAAATCTCATAAGATTATACATTTATATATATTTATTACTTTTATTATATTGACCTTTCACCCATGCCTGGCTAACAATAGAAGTTATAATGATGAAGCTCATGTGCACTCATGTTACCCTATCAAATAACATAAAGGTGACCTTTGGTCTGTGCAAAGTAACTTGTCTTGGCTGTGTTTTAGTTGACCAGTATTTTGTAAAATAGTCACATTTCAATTATTATATATTGTATAAGTATATAAATTATTGCTATTTTGAAATAAGGATATCAAACAAAATATTTTTTTTAGAGTTTATATATACTTTTGAATAACTAAAAAATCATAAATTACTACATTAATACCATAGAATTTTACTGTAATTTATCAAATGTAGTAACTAAGCTGTATTTGGGTCTAAAAAAAATATGAAATTTCGAGCAGACTAAAAACACAACTTACCTCATTGAAATCTTGGTTCAAAATAAAAAAATGGCACCAGGTGCATTAGAAAGGCTGAGAAAAACCACTAGGGGGACATCCTGAACTTCCAATTGGTTATTCTTGTCATATATAGAAGTAAGTGTGTATATAAGGGAGCATTTTCAAGAATGGAAAGAAGTGAGCGTGGTGCCACTGTGTTTGATTTATTATGTGAGCAATATCTCAGCAAATAGAAAAGATAAGAAGCTCTTATTTTATATTCTAGCTTGTCAATATCTGAAATCTAAGTTTCTAATTCGTATTAAACTACAGACTTAGTATTTTGACTTCACAAACATTTAATTTGAACCAGTGCTGCATTCAACATACCACATGACACACTAAAATCTATGTTTATCTGTGTTTTTTTCATATTTCTTTTAAATTAAGAAATTGAGTGAAGTATAGTTCTAAAATTTGAATTATAACCTACAGTTTGATGTGGTGAGGGATATTCGAGTGTTTGAGGCACAGTACATCTGTTACATGTGGTCTTGTTGTATTTCCCAGGATTTGTTTACAAGTATGTCAAAAATGTTGCAATACTATGAGTATCTTGCTTTTTAAACAGAAATTATCATCTAGAAATAAAACTTTCAAATTTACCAAAACTTTAGAGAGGAAGATTAAGTTTAGGGGGAAGCTCCCACCCTCAATCCTATTAAAGGAAAGTGTCTCTAATGAAAATGTCCAATATATTAAGAATACAGCAACAAACTAGGAATGAATAAGATTAACCAAAGCTCACTTCAATAAGTTTGGTAGTTTTGAAATGATACATTTGTGCAAGTCGATGAAAAATGAAGACTTTTGTACATTATCCTTATGCTTATTACTTTAATTGTTTTAAATTTTGAGTGAATGCATAACATAATTTGATCTTGCTAAGTGTTTTGTGCTGTATGTATTTTCTTTCACTGTGTTAGGTTTAGTTTTCTTGACCATCAAAATGCAGTTGAGTGACATCCATGCAGTATCTGTTTAGGTAATAATTCCATTTAAAGAAGGAAGAAACTGTAAACTATCATGGATGATTCTGAATAATATTTTATTTAAAGTTTGGGAGGAAGAAAGAAAAATTAACTGCTTTTCAAATGTTATATGAACTATTCTAGATAACAATGATAGTAGAGTGGAGAGATGAAATAAACTTTATATATATATTTGTTGTAAAACCTTGTAAGTAATATTTCTAGTTGGGGAAGGTGGAATAAACTGTAGCTTGTTTACACTTTGTTTTAAACCATGTAGATAATAGTTTCAGTTGGGAAAGGTGGAATAAACTGTAGCTTGTTTACACTTTGCTGTAAACCATGTAGATAATAGTTTCAGTTAGGAA